TACTGCTGATAAGAAAGAGAAATGCTGCAAACCTTAAAGTAGTTTAAGATACCTTTAAAATAAATACGTTCTGTAGCAGAACATTTGAGTTATGAAGACCAAATCAGGAAAAAAAACTTATGACAGAATCATACTTATCCTATGGAACAGAATACCAGTCTTTGATAAAAAAAAAACAGACTAGCATAGTTTTAGCATATTAATAAAACTGACTTTAAATAGTTTGCAACTTTATATTCACATTTGGATCATGAATGTTGATGGGCTATTTAACTGGCTTTATGTCCATGAAGTGGCTGACGGTTTTTTTTTATTCTTTCTTCTTTTAACCTTAATTTAAGGGAGATCGAACTGTTTATTGGTGTGTTTCAGACACAGCCGTCACCTTGATGTTGAAAAAGTGATGTTAAAAAATTCATAGACCTGCTAGTTTCGATTTCTAGAAGATGGTGTGCAGAACAAAAATCTTTATTGATTAAAAAAGAGGAAGGACAAAAGTACTGTCCATGAATAAAGAAATTATGAAACCTTTAATTGTCATTATGTTTAATCCCACTTGACCAAAAAATGAATGATGCTTTTCTATGGTTGCCAAAACCGGAGTGACTGTGAATTTGAAACAAACAGGTACAATTTCACAGTTGTCAGGGGGTATATAATAGCTTCATCTTTAACCTGCATGCATATTGTTAACCATTTTGTCTGATGGCTGTGTGGCAGTCAGTGGGATGCGAAAACAGCTGTGGCTCACAATGATTGGAGATGTTCCAGAATGAAATAATTCGATGATATGGTAGATTTTTTCAGAAATAAAGCTGGTCTTTGTAATGTTATAGCTCCTTGCGTGCCTCTCTGCTGCTTCACGGGAAATTTATAGGTCCCTATTAATTAGGGTATCATAGCAGCATCATGAGCCTTTCTTTTCTAAGTCGCCTTGAAGATATGAATATATATGTGCAACAGCGATATAGACTTTTTCCCCCTGGAGCCAGGTGACTGTAAATTCTTATTTACTTCAGAATGGGTTTTATTACTTTTGTAATAGCTGTATCTAAGTAGTTAATAATTCAGTCCACTTAGAGCTTGAATCCATGCTTTTTTTGCTTGCCTTGGGCAATGTAGAAGTTGATTTTGTCATGCTGAATATTGGATCTGACAATACCATCTACTGAATACAGACATTGCTCTGACACATACTTTTTTCATAGTTGCATGATATAGTAGAGGCGTTTTGAATACTTAGTGCAACCTATTAATGCACTGCCCTTTTGACTAAATTGTGTGGGGTTCCTGTGTTATTTCTCGTCCACTGATGCAGATTTCTCTCTGTGTTAGGCCAGATTTATCTATCATGAAAAGACCTAGTTTGAGAAAAATCCATCCTTTGACATTTTCTACCTTTTTCTGCTTTTTGAATGTTTGGCGACAGCTGAAATAAAAACATAACATTGACATTTGGCCTAACTAGCCAGTTTAGTAGTCAGCATCATATTGACTCAAGAATCTCATCCAGATGTTTCGTGAGAGACACCAGCTTCAACAACACAGTTAAGTAGGTTGTACCATACTCCCACAAACCATTACAGAAAGAAGTACCTCCTCTTCTCAGTTTTGAATGCACTTTAGTGTAATTTCCACTTGTGTCCTCTGGTTTGTCTTTCAAAACTGAGTTCCAATCTCTGATATATGTGAAAAGTCATTTATTAGCTTGACAAATCCCTTTGTCATTGATATATTGTACTCCAAATTTGTATTTTTAAATTGTTATTGACTGAAGTTTAGATTTTCTAATTCAAACCTGTGTGGAATAGGCTTTTCAGCAGTGCCTTTACCTAAAATTCATGCTGAAATTACATTGTGTTTATGATTGTTTGCTCAAAATGCAAAGACACCATCACATGATAACATCATAAACAAAACTAGATTATACATGCTAGTAACTATATTCTTCACTTTATATGAATGCATTGAGGCTTATTTTAATTTTGAGCTGCAGTCATTAAGGGTTTGCTCTAGTAAAGGATTTGTACCACAACCACTGCTAAATATGTATTTTCCATTAATACATTAATATTTTATGTTCATTTTGGTTGTTTGAAATATTTAGAATTTCAGTTTTCATATAATAATGATCCAAAACAAGCATACCAAGGTTTGTATTTAAAAAACAAAACATGATTTCCTTTCACTAAATATGGCCTTTCTACACTCCGGTGTGAAACTCTTGTTTAGTCTGGCTCCTATGCTGGTGTATTTCCCTTGTTTGGTCCGGTGACTGAATTGAGCCTTGAGAAGGTGAGGTGACTGAGTGTGTGCGTGGGAGGTGCTATGGTCTCTTGGTACTTGTGATGGACAGAGAAAATGCCAGACTTTGATATAAATGCCACAGGTGTCCAGGAACGGGGCTCTGGGGACTTTGAAGTCAAGTAGTCCAGTCTACTATGCTTGCCCAAGCTGTCTGGGTTTTATATAAGCTATTTGTTCACGTTTGACCTTCAATGCTCAGTTTGTTTGTTTGCTTGTAGTGAGGGGTGGGTGTACCATTGCCTTTCTCACATGCAAGGAAAGTGCACTAAAGCCCTGTCACCCCACGAAACCAAACCCTCCTCTAGGAGATCCAAATTGGCATTGGCAGGAATGATAAAGTGTCTCCTTCTGTAGAGTTACCCTCAATATCTCTAAGCCCCTCATGCAGAGCAAAGGTACAGAAGCTCTTTTAAGGAGCATGTCTCAATTATTCTCCACTGTGCAAACCTGAAACTAAAACTAAAAAAATAAACAGCTTAGGGGAGATCAATTGTCCCTTGTGTGTTGCTACTGAGACATACACAGCCCTTGTGCATAAGGTTAGTACAGCTAACTGTGTATCTCTGGATTGTGTGCCTTACTTTTAAAGAACTTGCACAGATCCTAGAAATTTAACATCTCATAGAACCTCTTTGCTAATTCTGGTAATAAAACTTTTGGGAAACTAAAAACAGTGAGCTTAGAATTAATTTAATGAAACTGATCCAAATGGTTTAAACTTATCTGAATAATGATAATGATCTTCCCCATGGCTGTTACCCTTCTTAACCATGAATGTGGGATGTAGTGTGTATATAACTGTGAACCTTTGCTTGTGTGAAGTGTACATGTACTATTTGATTATTTTTGCATCAGTTTCTTGTACATGTAACGGGCTTGGAAAAATAAAGTGATTCTGATACTGAAAGTAACTCAGTTACTAAGGGTTTGAGTGTGCATACTGTACAAGATGTACTGCAAGAAGCAATTTAGTCCCTCGTTGAAAACAAGGGCTACTTGAAATATCAGAGTTATTAGAAACGGTGGTATTAATAGACAAAAATATTTGTTAGTGTAGACCGGTATGGTATCTGGATTGTTTTTTTTTTCAAAATATTTGTTTACTTCTATTTATTTAAAATAAAGAAGTGCTTATTAACACAGATGCTAAAACAGATGGATACCTCTGTGTTTGTTTTCTCTGAAGTTGTCAGAGTTGGCCACTTGCGTGTGCACAGTGCTGTGTCAGATGTGATTTGCCTGGTGGTGGCTAGCTGTTGACTGGTAGTCTGTGGCTGCCTGCAGCAGGCTGGTGAACTCAGAGTTGTTATCAGAAGGGCAACAGGCCTTAATTTGTTCAGGGTCACTGACTGTGCTTATTCTTGTCTTCTTGCTTGCATTGTCACCTCCGGCATCAAGATTGCCTCATGTAAATTTTACTTTTACGCCTTGCAGGCTTATTTTTCCTTCATACTCAAATGTCATTTGAACTTTGCAATCAGGTTGTCGTCACATCAGGCTTATCTTCGCACTCCTTTGCACTTAGTGGCATCATTACGGGCTGCTAAGGATCTGCCTCAGGTAGTGGGTCTTGAAAGTGTTTACGCTCAGATTAATTAGCTATGACCTTACAAACCTCTGTCCTTGTTTAATTGGTGGTGCTGAAGCAGACTAATGGCATAAATCAGCTGTTAATGAGATCCCAGCTTGTTTTTAAAATATATAATAATGTGGGAAATGAACATCAGTGAGCTTTGTGCACTACCAGTGTATTGCCGGGGTAGATAGTGTTTCTCAGCTCTCACTGATAAATGAGTTTGATTAGTAGTGACATGGCTCTCTGTTTATTTTTTTTTGTCGAGCTTTGTTATTAAAATATTTAATAATAATTTAGTATGGTATATTTACCATAAATCTTATACTTGCATGTTTCAAAAATATTGTAATTGTTGGAGTAGATCCTAGACAAAGAAGTACATAAAAACCTTAACTTGCGATCAGTCTATATTTTGAAGTAAATCATTAGTGCTGTGTAGTAAGTAAAGCAAAATGCTTTATATCTGAGCCACGCATTGAAATAAAGCCACGTGAGAGGTTAGTAAGGTTACAGACTAGTAAATTTGAAATGTTGAAAGTAAATTCTAGGATCCATTCCCAAAGGATCCAACTATGTACTGTAGTCTTACTGAACTGCAAAAAATACTACATTTCAACTTAATCTCCAAATTCGAAGATATATCTTGAATCAATAAATTATTAACCTTAGTTTAAGTATCAATCATTATAGTAAACTATCTTGTCCGAAAGTTGCTGATAGCTAATTATTGAGATGTCTTTTTTACATATTATTTTTTAAACACTTGACAGAAAAGTCCCCTATAAAGTTTACTTTAGATTATTAGTGTTCAGTGATTGTACCTACTAGAACTGTTAGAGAATGGGTTACACTAAGCAGAATTGTAACATAACCTGTGGTCCTTGTGCGTTAGTTCCATTAGCTGTTTGGACAGAGATATCTCCTGCTTTCTTTGGCATGAAAAGTCTAACTTATAAACATTCAAATTAGTCAGAAACAAAATGATAAATTAAAAAAGACTGCATGAAAAATTGGAGGTAGCTATATGAATGATCATGTATTCTTGACACAGAGTGCAATTTTTTTCCTGTAAATTGTGATAAAACAATAATGCTTTTCTGTATTGCTTTTTTCACAGGTCATTTTCATGAATTCAAAATCAACTTACCAGTGATCACTGGGTGCTGGGGCTAATTTCTTTCTGTATCAGTAAGTACATATACTGTTTTTTCATACAATTTTTTATTTTCTTGAGTGTTTATTTCATGTCTTCTGTAATGGCTGGCATGATTTCTTTCAGCTTTTCCATGCAAGTCCTGCAGCCCCATCACACACTCTGTATACTCTAGTGCTAATTACTGTGCCAACAGTACTACGCCATTCTGTCATAGCATTGTTGTAATGGGATGGAAATTTCCTCTGCTCCGATTGGCTTGGATTGATCTCCTTGGAGCTGAGTCATAGTCATTAACTATTTTGAAGATTTCTGTTGAACAATGTATAAAACATGTGCAGTGCAGAACAGTATCCTTTACAAAAATATTATTTTTTGCAAACCCTTGCACCAAAACAGAATGTGCTTTACATTTTTTAAAAGAATTTTAAATCCCCAAAAGAGTCATTTGCTACTAAACTGCAGTCATTTGCTGTTATCAATGTAACGCTTGCTTTTAGAATCATTTTTGTAGTGCGTGAAGGCTGCAGACTTGTGTATAGGATTGCCTTTTGAAAACATGTCCTGAACTATTTTTAGAGGTCTTCGTTGTGAACCTGTTGCACCCATCATGCATTGTTACAAACTACTAGTGTGTGTTTTCACAGTTTACTCAGTTTGTGCTGCTTCAACACATGCATGTCACAAATCATATTAAATGTTTTTCATGGTTTTGTAATGTGGTTATTTTTGCATGCTTAGAACTTTGAATACTAGTAGGAAATGATTATAATTAGGAATCTAGTGTCGCTAAAAATATGTTTGATGGAAGGTTTTGGAGGACATAAAAATGTCACTGTACAAAAGAATCCCAAAAGGTCCAATATGTGAAGCCATTTTATAGTCATCTTTTCTTAATGCGAAACCTAATCAGGTATGCAGACAATTTGTTAACTGTAGCTTCATTAAAGTTTGGATTAATACATGCTTTTTAGATCTGCAGTATAGAAATATTGGGTGGTGACTTTTCTTCAGAAATCAGTGACCAAAATAAGGCTTTGTTCTTTCTTTTCCTGGTGGATATACCTGGTTTTATGACTCACCACATACATCTCAGTCTTCATATAGAGAAACCTTTTGATTACATTCTTTATGCTAATGTTTATGGCCGTGTGCCACCTGAATAAGAGTATTCAGACCAATGAAGAAAGAGGTCTTTTAAAGAAACACAGGCAACGCTTCAGGAAACTTTCAGTCTGTTAGTATATGGCTACAATAAGCCTTTAATGGAATTTTTTCTGGTAGTAATAAAGATCATATCTGGAAAATGACTGCGTTAGGTAAAGTTGGGCAAATAAAGTCAAGAAAGTTTAGTTTATATTCATCTTTTTTTAAATGTCACTAGGAAAAGGTTTCATTTGAAACAGGACAGAATTATATTAATCTGATGAAAAAAAAATACATTTGACCTGCATAATCAAGCAGCACGCTGATGAAAGCATATCTTATCTCAAAGTTCAGACTGATGTCTTCATATGTGCAGTTTACTCCAATGATTCAATGTCAAACACTATCTTGAGACTAGATCAATAGACGTATGTCTGTAATAGAGCTGGACCTTTTATTTTGTTTGTCATGTCTGCTAGTGTTGCTAAGTCCACATGCTAAGAAATTGTTACACTTCATGGAGAGAAGGCTTGAATGAATCATGCCAGGAAGTCATTGACTTCGGCTTCATTTTACGGCGCACACTGGAAAGAATAACAAAACTCCTAAATGATTCTAATGCCCTCTCTCTGGAGAAATTCTGAAGCCCTTTTGTTACACAACAATAGACAATTAATCTTTGTACAGCATAAGGAACATTGAGATATCAAGTACTGTAAACATTTGAAACAGACCATTTCCACAGACCTAGCTTCTTCATTTTTTTCATTCTTCTGAAATATGATGTTATCTCATTTAAGAAGGATGTTGGCAATTCAGGTATGTTTTGTTGCTGATATGAACAAGGATCATTATTGTTTTAATAATATCGTAGCCTCTTATAAAAAAAAAACTGCCACAATTTTAAAACCACAGAAATACGCAAGAATAGAGAAACTGAAACACATCTTCAATGAGTAATTGTTTTGCCAAAGATTTTGACTGCTAATGAGAATACATTTTAAGAGAGATGTAATAAATAGACAGTTAATACAGTAAGATTTTTTAGTGTCTTGCACCTATGTCTAAAAATGTCTAAAAAAATCAATTTGACATTGAAATTGGAACAGATTTGATTTTGTTTCAGAAAAGAATGAAGTGCTAACCGCAGTTTTAACATTGATGAGTTGCTGGTGTCTTGTTCTGATTTTGGAGCATGACTCAAATTATTAAATTTAAAAAAAGATAAAGGACTAATTCTGACTAAGAAAAGCAAACATTCAGAAAGTGGTATGCAGCCAACATGAAATGTAACAGTATAGAGCTTGTGTAAATGTGGTAAATGGTGTCTCTTCTTAATAAAAATCATCGGACTTAACAAAAAAGGTGGAACAGTTTTAAATATTCTTATATACTCTACATGTGTGCATCTGTAAATTGGTTACATTAAGTTGAGAGTCATCGAAGAAACCTGAGCCTTTTGTCAAATATTTAGTGTAGGAGATTTCAGTACAGACAAGGCATTCAGATAAAAGGACAACCAAATACAAATATTTATATTTTTCTCTTTTAGCCATTTTTAATGGTACACCACTGATTTAAAGGTCAATACTAAGTCAATATATTATTTCTACTGCTCAGGTGCTACAGTTATGAGAAATATACTGGGAAAGTGCTAAAACAACTGTATCACAAACATATAGTGCAAGGTTTTGTGTTCCATTTGATTAATATGATCTTTAGTCATTACATTGACATAATTGTATAGATTCTGACTTTTAAATATGTGTTGAAGATGATGGATTACATAAGCAGTGATTTTAAGAAACAACAATGTCAAAATCAATTAGGTTGTTCACTCTTTATGAGACAAAAGAACATAAAATATCTGGTCATTTTATTAAATCTCAATCTTGCTATCTTTTTTAAGACCAGATAATCTAAAGTAATTCTGAGGGGATTAGTTTCAGCTCCTTGGATGTTCTGACTAGAATGGTTGAGGTTGTGTGCAGTGCAGGAGTTAATTCACCAAGCTGCTCAGATTCAATTCTGGCCTTGAAAACAAGAGAGATGAGTTCTGTGCTCTCAACGTCACTCCCTGAGGACATTGGTCCACATCAAGAAACATACAGTTTGTCACAACTTGGGACATTTGTAAGCAGCGATTGTAGATTGAGAACCTATAGGCACTTTGGACAGTAATGTACGGGCTGCAAAAGACTTACCTTTCAAATTTAATGGAGCCGTACTTTCAGAAAACACAGTGTTTGAGTCTGATATTTACTGTGGGCTTCAAGTTAGTTTCTACCCAGAGCGATTTTAGTGTCAACTCAGATTCTTCTCTGAGAATTTTCCCTGAGAAAGGGAAGTTTTTGGGTCCTAGTTGGCTAATTCTTTAGCATCCTCCACTTGGATTCTAGAATGAAGTATACATCCCAGAAGAATATGGGAAATGGTTGGAGGCAGGAAACTGGCTGCGGTCAGGAGCTTTCTGACGTATGATAATCCTGTTGGGGTTGGGTGGAGTGAAACTGACTGGAAAATCCTGAGTATTCGGTGCCATGGTCATCTTTGCTGACGGCCAGGCACCAGTCTGACGCGGCCTTGTTTATAAAGGCCATGTCCATCTTCAGGACGACAATGAACTGCTCGCTCTCTGGGTTTGCAGTGCTCAAAGAATAAAAAAAATCAGTCCAAATTCGAAAAAAGCTAAAAATTACAAAACAGTTTTTGTGTTACCTTATATATACCTAGCTGGGAATTTCTTTCATCGCAGTTTATTCCTTGCAGATATGATTGCTGTACCCAGCCCATCTTTTTGCTGTTAAGTCGCGCATTAACAAATTGTGTTTGCACCCTTAAGGATGTGAAAATTATTCTGCCGGATGAGATGCCATATAAATTTACAGGTTGCATAACTAGATTTAACAAGTAAACTCTCCCTGATTAAAATAACAATTGAGCTTGTAATTATTCTGTGCAGCTGTTGCAGAAAAGGCTGTTACCACTGAGGTTGGAATGCCATATTTGCCTTTACTTGGTGAACTGTGCAGCTTAACATTGTGTAGCATTGTGCAAAGTTTCCGAGCTCGTAGTAAAATGTTATTTGAAAGCTGTCAAACCATGTTAAAAACATTGCAGTGTCCAAAGCCCTAGTGGCCAGGATTCAACATGTATCCTTGTCTTACTCATTCAAGATTGCATGTTTATAAAGTTCCAATTCCCAATTCACTTATATCAGCAAGACTTAACTTGCTCATTAATCTAAATTCTTTTGCAACTTTAATCTGCATGTTTAATTAATCATAAAATGAGGCGGTAAGTAATTTCAGAAATGTGTGGCTTGTTATCAGACACTTTTAATCACTCTTCTGTGAACTCATTTGGAAACACCTGAAGATGTTGAGAGCAGTTTGAATAAGCATAATGCAGCCTTTGTCATTCATCTAATAACATATTGTACTTTGAAAGTCTTTTGAAATCTAGAAAATAAGAATTTTGTTGTCCCACAAGAGTTCATCATAACTTTACAAGCATGTTAACATGAATACTGTAATTTTCCAGAAAATATTGATATGCCGCCTTTAAGAAACTATCAGCTTTTTTTACCCTGTAGGTTTTATTCTACAATTTTAGTGCATTATTTTGTTTGATGTTATGCAGGAGCTAAAATAATATATTTTCTATGTCCTATTATTTTGCCCTAGCTGGCTTTATCCATTGTTGAGCTTCATGGCAGCATTGTGTCTGCAGTGATGTAATTACAGTGTGAATTGAACTTCTTCAGTACAAACTTTAGTATTCCAAGCAGAAATGGCCATGAAATTGAAACATGCATCAAAAGATGATCTTGGTTTCAGAACTCTCGCACTCCCTGCCTGTCCTTACGTCGCTCAGCAGCCACCTCTGC